GAGAGAGAGAGAGAGAGACTTAATTAAAACGGTAGGGGAGAAAGACTGATTCAGAAAAAAAGAAAAGAAAAGAAAAGAGGGTTGGAAGCGAGAGATCACGGAAGGGACTCCCAATTTCAAACAAGATGGGGATGGGGAACAATGATGGGTTGAAATTTGAATATACTTGCATTGCAAGAACATGTTCTTGACTTCAAGTATAAGTTAATTCATTAGACTGGAAATAAATAGTGCATTCAGATTAGAAGTTAAGATATTTGCTATGCATCAAGACAATATGGCCCCGTTTGGTTCATGGGAAAGGAATCTTGGGGATGGGAAATCAATTGCTTTCTCATGTTTGGTAAGTCAGGCATGGGAAATCATTGCCTGGCACATGGGAAAGTAGGAGGGAAAGTGAAGCCGTCCTTCCTCCTTGGGTTTTACTTTCCCTTCCCATGGGAAAGTGAGGCTAGCATTAAATACCTTTTTTTTTTACTAATTTGTCCTTACTAATAATTCATAATTACAGTTTTTATCCAACAACTATTTGTATTCTTTTTTATTTTTTTATTCATATTTCTTTAATAGGGGTACAATTGGGAAACTAAACAAAATTTGTTTACCATTCTTATTCAAAACAAACATGGGAAAGGAAATAAAGTGATATTTTCGGGTTACTTTCCCGACATTACCAAACATGAGAAAGGTATCACCATTTCCCATCCCTTGGGAAATGACATGGGAAATGATTTCCCATCAAATCCGTTCCGTGAACCAAACGGGGCCTATATGTCACCTCTTGGGCATGCCATCTGAGCTTTGGTCTTTGCTAATCACTCTGGATGCTACCTGCCCCTCTATTCAAGTCAAGAACATGTGTATGGACCGATAAAGACACGCAACCAAATAATCATCACATAATTTTTCATCTTTGGGGTATTAGTATAAAGCCTATTGAGGGCAAGGCTACTTTGGTTCATGGGAAAGGAGGCTTGGAGCATGTTTGGTAAGTCCATGCATGGAAAATGGTTCCCTGACACATAGAAAAATAAGGGGGAAAATATAACTGTTTGTACCATATTTCGCAAATGGGCCAAAAATGGTCTATCTCTCAAGGGAACATATTTGTGAAGCCCAAGCCCAATTTCCTTTCTTTTCTTTAAGATAAAAAGAACCTTTTTTAAATAAAATGGCTCGTCGATCAGGATAAGAAAAATTAATGAAAGCCCACAGCATCAAGAAGCCCAAGTCTTTGAGCCACACTAAAGTTAAAAAGATTGGTAACCGTTGCACATAGACCCACGTAAGGGTCTGAAGAAGGATTGTCACCATTAATGGCGACTTGACCTTCTTCTCGCCCAACAAGAAAGCAGGATGGATAAAAGCCACCAGAACAGGACTGAATCGAATTACCAACCAGATTTCCGGTACAAAGACTCAAGTAAGAGAAACACCTCGAAAAACCAACGGTTTTGTCAGAGATATTCCATCCTTTCACCTATGAACCGGTCCAGATCAATAGTTGACTTTAGATAGCAGCCAAATATCATCTTTCAGCTTTCATCATTGAAGTTTCTTGCTTATAAATAAAGAGCCTCCACAACAGAAGAAGGGGACTCTCTCTCTCAAACCAGACGCAACGTCTCGAAAATACTTGAAAAACTCGAGATCTTTTCAAACAAGCCTGTTAACTTCCAGAAAACCAGTTGACAACTCTTGTGTTTATCTTTTTGTTGCTCTGCCATCTCCATAGTATGATTTCTTTCAAATGATCAAATTGAATTCATGTATCCATATAACATGATAGAGAATTCTCCAGTTTTTCCTTGCATTGTGATCAATATTTTGAATTAGTTAAATGGATAAATCCAGAACTCTCATTCTTCCTTGTTATCAAGTTAAAATTAGATGAAGAGATCTTAGAATTTATTATAACTGTTTCATTAAGTATCTGCTATTTATTTGTTTTTACATATTTTAAAAATCTCTATAGATTAATTTCCCGCCTTCGTTTATTTAAATTTGCCATTCGGACCTAAAGCAAGGGTTTTGGCCCGAATAGGGCCCTGTTATTCCCAGATGGGTGTCTGTTATTCCAACGTCCTCCTCACTCTGCAGAGCAATCAGATCCAAGTCATTGAAGACCATCAAAAAGGGTGTTCGAGGGAAAAAGGACCAACAGTAACCCTCCTTCCCCCTTGGGTTTCATTTTCTCACCGCCATCACAACAACCACAAAAATTTTCATCTTATAGATATGAGTATGGAGCCTGTAGAGGGCAACTAGAATCATTAGGGTTTCGGTGGTTCGGATGATGATGAGTCTCCCTAACTCTAGTTTTTGTTGGTCGCAGTGATCTTGTGTGCTTGTACTTGGTTTTGGTTTGTGCGTCCTTTACTTTTGCGTTCTTTGTGATAAAAATTTGATTTTCCAAACTGTCAAATTAATCATGGCTAATTAAGTGCCACATAAAAAGAAAGAATAAAATCGCTTATGGCTGATTAGGTTCACACGTTATATTGCTGAAGGCAGCCATTTGGTTTTAGACATGATAGTTTTCTCAGTGTTGCCAAACAGTAAATTGATTGTTTAATCACTCAAACAAATCATGTTCAAACAAGTGGAACTTAGGAAAAGGGAAAGGAAAAAAAAGTGGGACTTAGGAAAAAAAAAAAGTAGAAAGAGAAGACACGAACCAAGATAGAAGAAAGGAACAAGACGAAAAGAACAAAAAAAATTAGGGATATGATTTCCCCACTCCCATTTTCTCCACTTACACTTTCTTTTGCTTTTTAATACCTTTTAATCAATTTTGTTATGTCTCTTTCCTATTCTACCATTACCCTACATTAATTTCTTTTTACTTCACTTTTTATTAGTTCTTTTTCTTTATACTTAATTTTCCAACTTGCACTCCATTTTCAGT